TCCCTCCTTCCCCTCCCTCCTCCCTCCCCTCTCGCCCCCTCCCCTGCTCCCCCTCTTCCTCCTCCCCTCTTGCCCCCCCTCCCCCTCCTCCCCTCTCCCTCCTCCCTCCTCGCCTCCTTCTCTCCTTCTCCCCTCTTGCTTCCTTCTCCCTCCTCCCCCTGCTCCCTCGGCCACATGCGCTCAATATACACACTCAAAACCCGCGGCTTGAAGATCTAGTGTCCTCAAGTGAATTATTTCCCCTTTCTCCTCCCGCCCCCCTTCTCTCTCTCTCTCTCTCCTCTTTCTTTCTCTCTCTCTCTCTCTCTCTCTCTCTCTCTCTCTCTCTCTCTCTCTCTCTCTCTCTCTCTCCTCTCTCTCTCTCTCTCTCTCTCTCTCTCTCTCTTCCCCCTCTCTCCTCTCCCTCTCCCTCTCCTCTCCCTCTCCTCCCCTCTCCCTCTCCCTCTCTCTCTCTCTCTCTTTCTCTCTCCTCTTCCTCTTCCTCTTCCTTTTCTCCTCTGCCCCCGTTCCTTGCCATTTCCTCACACACCCTTTCCGTCCTCCTCCCCTCCGTCTCTTCTACCTATCTCTCCTCTTCCTCTTCCTTCTCCGTCCCCCTCTTATCTATTCCCCTTCCCTCCCCTCCTCCCCTCTTCCCCTTCCTCCCTCCCTCTTCCCTCCCTCCCCCTTCGTCCCCTCCCTCCCTCCCTTTCCCTCCCTTCTCTCCCTTCTCTTCCCTCCCTCCTCCCCTCCCTCCCCTCCCTGCTCCTCTCCCCTTCTGACTTGTTACTTCTCCTCTTCATTATCCTCTTCTTAATCCTATTGTCAACCCACACCCTCCCTCCTCCCCCCTCCCCCTCCCTCATCTTTGGCCGGATTTCTCTCTCTCTCTCTCTTTCTCCTCTTTCTCTCTCTCTTTCTTCTCTCTCTCTCCCTCTCTCTCCTCTCTCCTCTCTCCTCCCTCTTCTCTTTCTCTCTCTTCCTCTCTCTCTCTCTCTCTCTCTCTCTCTCTCTCTCTCTCTCTCTCTCTCTCTCTCTCTCTCCTCTCTCTCTCTCTCTCTCTCTCTCTCTCTCTCTCTCTCTCTCCTCTCTCTCTCTCTCTCTCTCTCTCTCTCTCTCTTCTCATCTCTCTCTCTCTCTTCTCTCTCTCTCTCTCTCTCTCTCTCTCTCTCTCTCTCTCTCTCTCTCTCTCTCTCTCTCTCTCTCTCTCTCTCTCTCTCTCTCTCTCTCTCTCTCTCTCTCTCTCTCTCTCTCTCTCTCTCTTCCCCTTCCAGATAGCTTTCCTACCCTCCTTCTCTCTCCGTCCCTTCTCTTCCCTTCTTTCCACCCCTCTGCCTCCCCTGCTTTATTGTTCCGCTTCGCCTGTTCCTCGACACATGTCACCTACCCCCCCCCCCGCCCCCTCCTTCCGACCACCCCGTCACTCTATCGCTTCCGCTTTTTATTTTTTTTTATTTTTTTATTCTTAGATGTCATCGGTGTTCGTATTTGATGTAATTCCCTTGTCTCATTCTCTCTCTCTCTCTCTTTTCTCTTTTCTTCTCTCTCTCCTCTCTCTCTCTCTCTCTCTCTCTCTCTCTCTCTCTCTCTCTCTCTCTCTCTCTCTCTCTCTCTCTCTCTCTCTCTCTCTCTCTCTCTCTCTCTCTCTCTCTTCTCTCTCTCTCTCTCTCTCTCCCTCTCTCTCTCTCTTCTCTCTCTCTCTCTCTCTCTCTCTCTCTCTCTCTCTCTCTCTCTCTCTCTCTCTCATATCCTTCTCCCTCCTCCCCCTCTCCCCCCTTCCCCCTCATTCGCCTTATTATCCATTAAAAAAAAATCTTTTATATTACGACCACCTTGCGCACTGAGACCTCTCGTGTTTTAGGAACCAGTGTCCGTAATGAAGAGGCTTTCCGCTTCGAGGAGGGTCGCCTCCCTCCCTCCTTCCCTCCTTCTTCCTCTTTCTTCCTCTTTCTCTTTCTCTCGCATTCGCTTCCCTCCCTCCTTCCCTCCTTCTTCCTCTTTCTCTTCTCTTTCGCTTCCCTCCTCCTTCCCTCCTCTTCCTCTTTCTCTTCTCTCGCATTCGCTTTCGCTTCTCTGTATGTCTCTCTTTTCTCTTTCTCTGTCGCTCGTATTCGCTTTCGATCTCGTCTTGCTCTGTCTCTCTCTTTCTCTTTCTCTGTCTATCTCTCTTTCTCGTTCTCTGTATCTCTCTTCTATCGCATTCGCTTTCGATCTCGGTCTCTTCCTTTTTTATTTGTCTCTCTCTCTCTCTTTTTCTGTTCGTATCTCGCACTCGCTTTCGACCTTGCTCTCTTTCCTTTTTCTTTCTCCGCCTCTTTCTCTTTCTCTTTCTTCCCTTTCCTGTCCCCTCTTCGCTTTGCGTTTTTCCTCCACCGGGGTGTCGTTATCTCTATCGCTTTCTTTTTGTTTACGTGTTTTCCCTTCTCTTCTTCTCCTTTTATGTTTCTTTACTATCTTTTCTCCCTGCTTTCATTCATTGTTCCATTCTCTTTTGCTCTTGTTCCTCCTCCTCCTCCTCCTCTTCTTCTTCTTCTTTCCTCTTTCCTCCTCTCCTTCTTCCTTCTTCCTCCTCTTTCCTCCTCCTCCTCCTCTAAGTCTCCCTCCTCTTCTTCTTCTTCTTCCTCTTTCCTCCTACTCCTCTTCTTTCCTCTTTCTCTTCCTCCGTCCTCCCTTCTCCCATCCTCCTCCTCCCATTCTCCCTCTTCTCCGTCGCCCTCCCTTCCGCATATGGCAGCCATTGTTACGACAAGTGCTACCTTCCCTCCCGCCCTCCTTCTCCCTCCTTTCTCTCTATCCCTCTCCCCTCTCCCCTCGCCCCTCTCCCCTCTCCCTCGCCCTCGCCCCTCTCCCTCCTCCGTCCCTCACCTACCCTCCGCACCCTCCCTTTCCCCTCTACCCCCTCACCCTCCCTCTGTCCCCTCACCCTCCCCTCGCCCTTCCCTCCCCTCCCCCTTATCCTCACCTCAGCGCCCTCCAGCGGTCGTTTGTCATTTGTTTCCTCCTTTGATGTGGGATTAAAGCCTCCTTGTACAGGATCGCTCACAGCTGAAGAGGATTCGATCGGCCTATAAATTTCTCTTTTTTTTTTTTTTTTTTTTTTTTTTGCCTCCCTTTCGAGTGTTTATTGCGGTGTAATCGATATGTTTATAATGGCTTCGTGATTGATAATAATAAAAAAAAAATGGGATTTGCGGAGGTATATGTGTGTGTGTGGTGTTGTGTGTGTGCGTGTGTGTGTGTGTGTGTGTGTGCGTGTGTGTGTGTGTGTGTGTGTGTGTGTGTGTGTGTGTGTGTGTGTGTGTGTGTGTGTGTGTGTGTGTGTGTGTGTTGTGTGTGGTCTGCTGTTGTTTTTGTTTACTTGTTTTGTTTTGTTTATTAAGCATCCTTCTTTTTATTTTATGATAACGATCGGAATGAAAATAGTATACGAAGGTTGATGATGATAACTGATGTTATTATTAATGATAATATCCCTTTATAGTCATTGCTTGTCATCAGGACGCCAGTAATAGTAAAAAATAATTAGTAATTTCACATCTTGCTATTATTTCACGAACACCAACCGTTTTGATCAGCCTAAATAAGCGCATTGAAACACCGCGACCAAAACCCCGATCAAGATTTAAAGAAAAAATGAAAATGCCGGAAAATCCGATCAAGATTTAAAGAAAAGAAAAGAAAAAAATGAAAATGCCGGAAAATCGATTGACGCTTGACCCTCCGAAACCGATTTTCAATTATCCGGCAAAAACCTTTTACTCATGCGATCCTTCCCTCCGCGGTCCAGATCCTGCAATGGGGGCATTAGGGCATATTACAATATTGAATCGTTTGTCCTGCAAATGGATGGGCGAGTGAAATGGACATAGTGGTCATATTCCCGTGATAATGGCATTGATTGCAGGGACGTGCAATTTGCTTTCGGTGCAATATTTAGGGTGAAGTGTGGTGTGATCTCACGGTGTGTGTGGGTGTAAGTGCAGGGTTAAGTTGGATTATTTTGATATATGATGAATAAATCAGTTGGATGTGTAGGTTGTTGATGTGTTAATTATAATACGAAGGTAAAGGTGATGATTTATTAAGGTAATTTGGATAATTTGATACGGTTAGTCATGATTGAATAAGTGAATTGTCCAAATGCATAATGTCAATTTTATCACGGTATTCAAACGGAATTATTTATGATAATAAAAATGAAAAAAAGAGAAGGAAAGATATGAATGGAATATTGAGTAAATAAATAAACTCCTGAATACATTACACATGATTGATACAAAAATAATGTTTAAGCCAAAATATATCAAAATTTAGTCATAATCAGCGAGCGTTGATGGTGATCAAAGTTAGTGATAGTAATGGTGTAATGGAACTAGAATTTTATATTAACAATTTTAGTGATACCTGTAGTGAAATGATATAATAGTGATGATGATGATGAAACGATGAAGATGATAAGAAATGACAGAAATAATAATGATGATACTACTACTACTACAGTAACAGCAGCAGCAACTACTTTTACTACTACTACTACCACTTTTATAACTACTACTACAACTACTACTACTACTACTGCTACTACAGTAACAACACCAAAAACTATTACTACTACTACTACTGCTACTTCTATTGCTGCTACTACTACTACAACTACTACCGCTACTACTTCTACTACTACTACTACTACTACTACTACTACTACTACTACTACTACTACTACTACTACTACTACTACTACTACTACTACTACTGCTACTACTACTACTACTACTACTACTACTACTACTACTACTACTTCTACTACTTCTACTACTACTACTACTACTACTACTACTACTACTGCTACTACTCCTACTACTACTACTACTGCTGCTACTACTACTACTACTACTACTACTACTACTACTACTACTACTACTACTACTGCTGCTACTTACTACTACTACTACTAATAATATAATAATAATAATAATAATAATGATAATCATCATATTAACCCCCTCCCCCCTCCCCCCCAGATCTGAACTACTGCGGCCGGTACCCGTGCCACAACGGCGGCACGTGCGAGAACACGGCGCCCGACCAGTACCGCTGCACGTGCCCCGAGGGGTTCTCAGGACCCAACTGCGAGGTAAGGAGGTGTTATTTTTTGTTGTTGTTGTTGTTGTTGTTATTTTTATGTGATTTGATTTGATTTTTTATTGTTATTGTTTTTCTTTTGATGGTTTAATGTTGTTGTTTTTGGTGATTTCATAGTTTATTTTTGGTGACTTTTTTTGGGTTTTGAATTGAATGGTTTAATATTATTTTTCATGTGTTTGTGTTTGTTTCTTTTGGGATGGTTTAATAGTTTATTGTTTGACTTCGTATTTGCTTAATGTTAGGTATCGGGCGGGGACTAACGTGATCTTATTATCTCTCTTTTAATTTCCTTATTTTTCTCTGTTTTTTTCTGGTTTGTATAAGCTGTATTGCTAATATTGTTTATTTTCCAGTCCATATGTTGTCTATCCCACCCTAAAATAACCACAATCATAACCGCAACCACAGCCACAGTCATAATAAGCGAAACCCATCCTAAAACATCCACAAAATTATAACCAAAGCCACAGCCACAATAACCGAATCCTATCCTGAAACAACCACACAATCACAACCACGGCCACAATAACCGACACCAACCTTAAAACAACCCGGAACCATTTACAACCCCCCCCCCTCACCCCCCAACGCCCTGACCCAACCCTTAAACCTGCCTCTCTTCGACACCCTCAATGACCCCCAATTGACCCCTAATTGACCCCCAATTGACCCCTGATTGACCGCAACTGACCTCGCTCCCCCCTCTCTCTCTCCCTCAGGTGGTGGAGGACCCTGCGCCCCGGGGCCCTGTCTCAAACGGCGGCACGTGCAGGGAGGTCAACGGGGGCTTCCAGTGCACGTGCGCCCCCGGCTGGACCGGCGACACGTGCCAGAGCAGTAAGTAGTGATGGAGTTTTGTTTTGCGTGTTGGAGGAGGGGCGGGGGTGGTGGAGGAGGGGGTGGGTGGTGGAGAAGGGGGGGGGGTTGGAGGAGGGGGTGGGGTGTTGGAGGAGGGGGAGGGGTTGGAGGAGGGGGTGGGTGTTGGAGGAGGGGGGGGGGGTGGAGGAGGGGGGGGGTTGGAGGAGGGGGGGGGTTCGAGGAGGGGCGGGGGTGGTGGAGGAGCGGGGTGGGTGTTGGAGGAGGGGGCGGGGTTGGAGGAGGAGGGCGGGGTTGGAGAAGGGGGTTGGGTTTCTGGGATGTTCTGCTGGTGTCATTTTTGTTGTTTATGTTTTGAGGGAGGTGGGAGAGGGGGGGGATGTGTGTGTGTGTGTGTGTGTGTGTGTGTGTGTGTGTGTGTGTGTGTGTGTGTGTGTGTGTTGTGTGTGTGTGTGTGTGTGTGTGTGTGTTTGTCCTTCCTGTTACCAAAATATTGTCACAGTCTTCACCCTGCACCTCCCTAAATTAAGGGCGGGGGAAGGGAGAGGGGAGGGAGGGTGAAAGGAAGGGGCGCCAGGAAATCAAATTTATTTAGATTAGGTAAAAATCAAACCTATTCAGCGCATTGACAACTTCCCTTAATGGTCATCATCATCATCATCAACACCGTCTCATCGTCATCATCATCATAATCAACATCATCATTTACACCATCACCATCATCATTCTATCATCAAACGCATCACATCATCATCATAATCACCATCGCCATCATTTATCACTATCATCATCATCGCCATCATTATCACGATCATCACCAACGCCATCACATCAATCATAATCACCATCGCCATAATTTATCACTATCATCATCATCGACACCACCACCACCACCATCATCATCATCATCATCATCATCATCATCATCATCCATCAATCTATCATCATATCACCATCATCATCATCATCATCATCATCATCATCATCATCATCATCATCACCATTACATCAATTTCACTATCATCATCATCATCATTAATAACCACACCGACCACAAGCCACGCGCATTTTGCAAAACAGAGCGAGGGGGAGGGAGTGAGGGAGGGAGGGAGGAGGGAGGGAGGGAGGAGAGTGAGTGAGGGAGGGAGAGGGGGGAGGAGAGAAAAAACAACAAAGCAAACTGATATCAAATACCATATCAAATAAATGTCGCCCACCCCGACCCTCCCCCAACCTAATTTGCATATTCGGCTAATCTCATTTCGGTCGGAGCGGTCACCAGTATTTTGTGATGCCGGGAAGGGGTCTGTTGTGACGCTAATACTGCGGGCAAACACTCGTGTGGACACTTGGTGTAAGTGGGTGAAGGGGATGGGAGGGATGGGAAGGGTGATGGGGAGGGAGGGAGGGAGGGAGGGGGTAAGAGGGAGGGAGGGTACGGTAGAGAGAGGGTAAGAGGGGAGGAGGGTAAAGAGGGGAGGGAGGGAGGGAGGGAGGGAGGGTAGGAGGGAGGGTAGAGGGAGAGGAGGGAGGGAGGGGTAGAGAGAGGTAGAGAGAGAGTAGAGAGAGGAAGAGAGGAGAGCGAGAGAGCGAGAGAGCGAGAGAGAGCGAGGAGAGCGAGAGAGCGAGAGAGCGAGAGCGAGAGCGAGAGCGAGAGCGAGAGCGAGAACGAGAGCGAGAGAGAAGAGAGAGAGAGAGAGAGAGAGAGAGAGAGAGAAGAGAGAGAGAGAGAGAGAGAGGAGAGAGAGAGAGAGAGAGAGAGAGAGAGAGATAATAGCCACTATAGACACGTAAAATAATTTCAGTCAACGAAAAGGCAGATCAGAGGATAATCCTTACCTAAACACACACACACACTTGCCTTGCACACAACATAGCTACCACACACACACACACACACACACACACACACACACCACACACACACACACACACACACACACACACACACACACCACAAACACACACACACATACAACACACACACACACACACACACACACACACCACACACACACACACACACACACCACACACACACACACACACACACACACACACACACACACACACACACACACACACACAACACACAGCACACACACCACACACACACACACTCACACACACCACACACAACACACACACACACACACACACACACACACACACACACACACACACACACACACACACACACACACACTCACACACACGCACACACACACACACACACACAACACACACACACACACACACACACACACACACACACACACTCACAACACACTCACACTCACACTCACACACACACACAACACACACACACACACACACACACACACACACACACACACACACACACACACACACACACACACACACACCACGCACACACACACACACACCACACACACACACACACACACCACACACACACACACACAACACACACACAACACACCACACCACACACCACACACACACACACACACACACACATCACACACACACACACACACACACACACACACACACACACACACACCTGCATAAATATTGCCAGAAGCAAAATAGATCATATCATTTAACACTAAAGGGAAATACAAGAACACATCTCTTACTCTAGAATTAAACTCTTTTTTCAAATTTACTGTAATCGAATTTTTTAAATCAAATTACGATGCAAGACAAGATCACAAGATCATTGTATAAGAGATCCTGGATAAAGGAGTAGAAGGAAACGGGGGGGGGGAGGGGGGTCAAGGGAGGATATAGGTAGCATGGAGGGAGCCAGAAGGGAGGTGGGAGGAAGGGGGAGGAGGGAGCCAGAAAGGGAGGTGGAGGAGGGGGGAGGGAACCAGGTGGCAGGTGGGAGAATGGGGGGGGAGGGAGGGACAGGTGGGTATAAAGAGAGAGGGGGGACTGGAGCGGGTTTGGGGGTTGGGGGGGGGGTTGGGGGGTCAATTTAGGGAATGTGGTGGACGGTGGGCAGGCTTGGGCAAAACCTCAAGGTCGAGAACGACACGTTCCACACCCCCCCTTTGGCCCTGTTTCCTTCCCTTCTCTTTCATCTCCCACCCCTCATCTCTGCATCTCCGTCTCTCTTTCCCTCTCTTCCTCTCCTCTCCCTCTTCTCTCTCCTTCCCTTCCCTTCCCTCTCCCTCCCCTTTTCCTTTTCCTTCCCCTTCTCTGTATCCCCATCCTTCCTCCTTCTCCCCTCCCCTATTTCGCCCCTCCTCCTCCTCTCCCCCCCTTCCCTCCCTCCTCCGTCCTCTTCTCTCCCCTTCCCTCCCTCCCTCCCTCCTCCCCTCCCCGCCTCCCGCGATGCCCTCCTCCGCGTGCCCTACACTACTTCAGCTACCTCTTGCCCCCTTCTCGCCCTTCCCCTCCCTGCCCCTCCTCCCCGCCCTGCCCCCCCCCCTCCCCCCCCCTTGCCCTTCCTCCCCCTGCCCCTTCCCCCCCTCCCCCCTTGCCCCTTTAGATCGAGGGTCGTGGATGGTCCTTTTGTGGGCGCGCTGGGAGGCCTTTCTGCGCCCCCTCTCGAGCACCTAGGATTCGCGGGCGGGCCGAACGCGACCGCGAGGGCGCTCACGTGCACGCGCGCCTGAGCACGCGCTGGAGGTTGGCTCTGAGTTCTGTTTGTGTGTCTATCTCTCTGTGTCCTTCTCTCTTCTCTTCTCTCTCTTCTCTTCTCTCTCTCTCCTCTCTTTCTTTCTCTCTCTTTTCTTTTCTCTTTCTCTCTCTTCCTTTCTCTTTTCTTTCTTCTTTCTCTTTTCTCTGTCTCTCTCTTCTCTCTCTCTCTCTCTCTCTCTTCTCTCTCTCTCTTCTCTCTCCTCTCTTCTCTCTTCTCTCTCTCTCTCTCTCTCTCTCTCTCTCTCTCTCCCTCTCCCTCTTCTCTCTCTCTTCTCTGTCTCTCTCTCTTCTCTTTTTCTCTCCCTCTCTTTCTTTGTTCTCTCTCTCCCCTGAATATCCCTCCAAACCCTTCCCGCCTGGCATCCCCGCTGACGCGTGGCACTCGGGCAAAAGAGCAGCGAGCGGGCGCCGCGAGTGCCACCTTCGCGCCCGCACGCCGAGCGAGAGCAAACACGAACGCACTTACTTGGTCAAACATCAAGGGCCTGTGATCTTGCACGCACACTTACGCACGGACACGCAGACAGACGCTAAGAGGCGCACGCAGACACGCAACGAGGCGGCGGAGGAGCTGAGTGCTAAGCAAATATATGCGGTTATATATGTGTGTTTGTTCACGCAAGTTTGTTTGCGCAGACGGTCAGGCACGCACATACGCCTAGACACACACGCATGCGCACGCGCACACGCACACGCACACGCACACGCACACGCACACGCACACGCACACACACACACACACACACACACACACACACACACGCACACACACACACACACACACACACACACACACACACACACACACACACACACACACACGCTCGTGCTCGTCCAAACACACACGCACATACAAACACACACACACACACACACACGTGCCCGTCCATAAACACACGCGCACACACAATAACCCCCCCCCCCCTCCACCCAGAGAGAGAGAGAGAGAGAGAGAGAGAGAGAGAGAGAGAGAGAGAGAGAGAGAGAGAGAGAGAGAGAGAGAGAGAGAGAGAGAGAGAGAGAGAGAGAGAGAAATCCCTTTAAAACTCGAGTGCATAATCCGGATCATCAGGGTCGGCCTTTGGTGATCGTCGTCCTCATCGGATGACAATTCTCGCGTAGAGAGAGAAAGGAAAAAAAAAAAAGTATATATGTGTAAGAAGAAATAGGTAGGACGACAGGACACCATAACAAGATGAAGCCGAAGTCATGCGAGATATGGCGCAAAATCGGACGATTTCCAGCGTCGTCTCCGGACCTAAATATTTCTTTCAGTTTCCGAAATATAGATATTTATCGCTCCCGTTCGATTCGCTTGATCTTGGCTTTGACACCGGACTTTCGGAGACGATCCAGCGGACTCGTTTGACATTGGCTTTGACAACGAATCGCCTTCGTTCGATTTTTCATTCGAAGTCGACTTCGTTCGATTCGCTTATCTTGGCTTTGACACCGGCCTTCGCTTCCTAACGATTCGCTTGGATCTTGGCTTTGACATTTTGCGTTCGATTCGCTTGATCTTGGCTTGACATTCGCTTCCGAATCGTTCGATTCGCTTGATCTTGGCTTTGACACCGGCCTTCGCTTCCGAATCGCCTTCGTTCGATTCGCTTGATCTTGGCTTTGACATCGCTTCCGAATCGCCTTCGTTCGATTCGCTTGATCTTGGCTTTGACACCGGCCTTCGCTTCCGAATCGCCTTCGTTCGATTCGCTTGATCTTGGCTTTGGCGAATGGACCCGGTGGCCATCTGTGCGCCGGCGGTCCGGAAAGCCTCTTGTCATTTGGACGAGTCCCGGCGGAGCGGTAATGTCTCGCCAAGTGCGACTCGAAGCTTAGCGAACTGTGCGGGATCCATTATCGTGAAGTATTGGTCTCCGCGGAAGGTTGACGTGTGTTGCTTACTTATTCATTTAGCGGTTCTTCGTCTCTGTTTGATTACTTCTATTTCTTTGCCTTTTTTGCAGGTCTTTCTGACATTAGAGTTGAGGGGGTGTTCGGTGTGTTGGTCTTTGGTGTAAAGACATTTCTCTCTCTCTTTCTTTTCTTTCATGCTCTCTCTCTCTCTCTCTCTCTCTCTCTCTCTCTCTCTCTCTCTCTCTCTCTCTCTCTCTCTCTCTCTCTCTCTCTCTCTCTCTCTCTCTCTCTCTCCTCTCCTCTCTCTCTCTCTCCCTCCCTTCCTCCCTCCCTCCCCCTCCCCCTCCAACCTACCCTCCTTCATATCCCTTTTTTTCAACTACTTCCCTCCCCTCCCCCTCCCTCCCTCCCTCCCCCCTCGGAACCTCATAAAGGGACCCACAAAACCTCAAGGGATTTGGTGGCGTTATTTGCCCCCGAGTTAACCCCATTACCGCCGCTCTTGCCTATCATCGTATATCACAACACGTGTCCCATATTTAGGAGAGAGCCACTGCGTCTTAAATGTGTCTATCGATAGATTTTATTCCATTTCATTTTATTTACACGTTACGGCTTCAATTTGGATCCATTTCGCAAATTTTGGGGTAAATAGATCCGTTTTCTGTAAATTCGGCGATAAAAAGGGGTGACTTATCTGGGTTTTTTTCACTGTAGTTGACGGTCACGTTTTTTTTTTTCTTCCGTGAAAAATGGAATTCTATGATTGATAAACTCCCTCGGCGGTTTGGTAATGTACTGAAGCGTATTTGCAATTGAGAAAAATTGGGATTAAGAAGCTATTGATAGAGAGGGGGAGTGGGAGAGGGAGAGAGACGGGGAGAAGAGTAGAAGAGAAGAGAAAGAAGGGGAGGAGGGGAGGAGAGGAGGAGAGGAGGAGAGGAGGATGAGAAGGAGGGGAGAAGGGAGGGAAGGGAGGGAAAGGAAGAGAGAGAGAGAGAGAGAGACAGACAGAGAGACAGAGAAGAGACAGAGACAGAGAGAGAGAGACAGACAGAGACAGAGAAGACAGAGACAGACAGACAGAGATAGACCAAGATCGAAGGCAAATGAACAAACACGCACAGACAGAGGCAGGCAACGCGAGCAAGAGAGAGAGGGAACAATAAAGTCATAAGCGGAGCATAAAAATCAATCCATCAGCCAATGACCGCCGATAAACTGCTCGCAACACGTGTTCGGCCACAAATGTAAACAGACGATAAACTCGTCAATAAACTATAAACAGTGTCCGATTCCCTGGGCGATAAACTCGAGTGGATTTCGAGGTTATTTTTATTGTTGTTGTTGGTCGTTTTTATTATATGTTTTTGAGGGATGATAAAGAAAAAATAGTAACGAGAAGTACAATATATGTTGTTTTTTTTTCATTTTCTCTCTCTCTCTCTCTCTCTTCTCTCTCTCTCTCTCTCTCTCTCTCTCTCTCTCTCTCTCTCTCTCTCTCTCTCTCTCTCTCTCTCTCTCTCTCTCTCTCCCTCTCTCTCTCTCTCTCTGACCAAATATCGCCGTTGCTAAAAAAAAAAAAAAAGTTAATAATACTTTTAAGATATCAAAAATCTATTTAGATATGTGTACTCATTATAATTTCAAACACTTCACAGAGAAATATACTTATTCCACCGACGGCACCTTTAGTACAGGTGAATTATAGAGAAAAAATAAGATAAAAAAGTATTTATAAGTAAAAGGAAGGCTTTTTCGCTCTCGTCATGAAAGAGAAGCCGCCAATGTGTCGGTCAATTAGCCCTCGTTGGCCTTCTGTGATTGGTGGGCTCGAGGGAAAGCAGCAGCCAATCAGGAGGCGGGAAAGTGGAAGGCCTCTGCTGATTGGCTCTCGTCGGACGCTTCAATGGCCAGTAATCTGACTCGTAATATTGGCTACTTTAGATGCAGATGGAGGCTTTCTCCGAGTGCTTTTATCCAAAGTGCTTTTGGTTATTGTAGATGCAGAGGAGAGGAGAAGAAAAAAAAGGAAGAGAAAATGCATTTCTTGGATATGCGGTTGTTAGTAGATTCTCTCAGGGCTACCATACCTTCGTTGTTACTAACGTATCGCTTACAGTCATAGCTAGTAGTTACCGGGATCATGCTGTGACAGATTTATAACAACACGCTAGAATTTGGAACGACACACAAACCGAAACACGAGAGGGAAAACCGCGCGTGACAAGTGCCCGTTTATCGACTCGTTGTCCCTTTGTAGCGGCCGCCGGAAGTCGTGAGCGGGACTGATAATAGAGGTCGTTCGCCGGTCGTTATTGGGAGGGACAAGTGGCTGTCGCTCGGGAAGGTCGTGTTTGAGGCGAGGGCCGGGAGGGGGTGGGGGAGGGTGAGGGGAAGAGGGAGAAAGAGAGGAGAGGGGAATGGGAGATGGGGATAGAGGAGGGGAGGGAAGGGGAGCGGATGAGGGGGGGTGGTGGAAAGTGAAGAAGGGGAAGAGGTAGGAGAAGGGTGGAGGTGGGGAATGAGGGGGAAAGGAAGTAGGAGAAGAGTGGAAGAGGAAGAACAGAAGAGGTAGGGGAAGGATGGGAGAGGAAGGAGAACGGAGGAGGGGAAAAAAAAACATGAGAAACGGCAAGGTAAAAAGGGATACATACCCAATAAACTATGATCTTATCCAATGTAAAATAAATCTTTGTATATTTTTTTCTTCTCAGGAACCTGAAGCATCAACCGAACACACAACCTCTCAATAAAGAAAAGAGGAGATGGAAAATGAAAAGAATAATTACTCAATGCACCTACTTCACATACATTTCTTTCCCTTCTCTCCGCAGATGTGAACGAATGTGAGACGGAGCCCTGTGAACACGGCGGAACTTGCATCGATGAAGTGAACGGCTTCTCCTGCAACTGCACGCCGGGGTGGGAGGGAAACACGTGCCAGTTCGGTAAGTAGAGGATTGTTTACATTGAGGGAGGGAGGGAGGGAGGGAGGGAGGGAGGGAGGGAGAGGGGAGGGAGGAGGGAGGGAGGGAGGGAGGGAGAGAGATAGTGAGATAGTGAGAGTGAATGAGATAGAAAGAGCGAGAGAGAGAGAGAGAAAAAGAAAAAAGAGGGATAGAGAAAGAAAGAAAGAATGGGAGACAGAGAAAGAGAGAAGAAAGAGAGAGATAGAGAGAATTCATGTGTGATTTTTCTGATATCTGTCTTCACAAGTAAGCTAGAAATGAAATAAGTTATAACAGTGAAAGTAAAGAGAATAAGAATAAGTATTGAGGACAAGAATAATAGCAAACAGAAAACAAGACAACAGCAGCCATACTAACCACACCCTCTTCCCCCTCCCTCCACCCCTGCCTTTCGTCCCTTCCCTGTCCTTCCTTTCCTTCCCTTCCCTTCCCTCCACCTCATCCCCTTTTCTTCTCTCCACCTCTCCACCCACGCCTGCCCTTTCCCCTCCCCCACCCCTTCCCTCCCTCCACCCACCCCTTCCCTTCCCTCTCTCTCCATCCCTGTCCCTCCAATCCTCCCCATCCCCTTCCCCCATACCTTCCTTTCCCTCCCCCATTCCCCCCTCCCCTCCATCCCCCCATCCCCATCCCTCTCCATCCCCCCCTCCCCTCCCCTCCCCTTCCCCTCTCCCTCCCCTCCCCCCTCCCCCTCCCTCCCCCCCATCCCCATCCCTCTCCACCCCCCCTCCCCTCATCCCTCTCCGTCCCCTCCCCCCGCAGACTCGGACGAGTGCCAGGGGCGGCCGTGCATCAACGCCAAGGCCTGCCGCAACCTGGAGGGCGACTACGAGTGCGACTGCCGCAGGGGCTGGAAGGGCAAGAACTGCGACGTCAACATCAACGACTGCAGCGGCCAGTGTCTCAACGGCGGCACCTGCATCGACCTCGTGGACGACTACCACTGTGCCTGCTCCAAGGGCTTCACGGGTGGGTGGTCGTCGGCGGCTGCTGGGGGTCGTTGGGGGTGAAAGTTTTTTTTTTTTTTTTTTTTTAGGGGGGGGGAGGGGAGGTGTATTTTGTTCAGTTGTTGTTACTCTGAGTTATATTTTTAGGGGGAGGGGAGGTGTATTTGTTCAGTTGTTATTTTGAGTAGGATTGTTATTTCCGCCAAAGAGGTTGTGTCTTTGGTAGCGCAGGTTAGTTAGTTTGTTGGTTGGTTCGCACTTTAAACTCAAAAAAGTTATGAACAGATATTTATATATATATTTTTTTTACCAGAGGTGGTGTTTTAGGCCAACTTAGATGCCATTAAATTTTGTACCAGGATCATTAACATTCATTTCATCATTTACTATTATTATCATTATTTAATTGCGAGGTAGGGCCTTTTTGGCGCTAGAATTATCATTATTGTTCTATTGCCTTGGCGGAGGTATGCCCCTCAGAGAGCTTCTAGTTGTTAATAGTACTGATTATCATCATCACTTTCACTATCATCATCATCATAATTACGTTTCATCATGATCGTCACATTTTCATCATCACTATCACTATCATCATCATAATTATGTTTCATCATGATCGTCACCATTATCATCATTATCACTATCATCATTCATCATAATTACTGTTTCATCATAATGATGATCATCACCCTCATCATCATCACTATCACTATCATCACCATAATTACTGTTTCATCATGATCATCACCATTATCATCATCACTATCACTATCATCATCATCATAATTACTGTTTCATCATGATCATCACCATTATCATCATCACTATCACTATCATCATCATAATTACTGTTTCATCATGATCATCACCATTATCATCATTATCACTATCATCATCATAATTATTCATCATAATGATGATCATCACCCTCATCATCATCACTACACTATCATCACCATAATTACTGTTTCATCATGATCATCACCATTATCATCATCACTATCACTATCATCATCATCATAATTACTGTTTCATCATGATCATCACCCTCATCACCACCACCAACACCACCATCACCACCAGCCCTCTCCTTTCCAAAAGCAAAAGACCCCCCCTGAATCACCCCTCCCCCCCTCTCTCCTTCCCCCCCAGGCCAGAACTGCGAGGCGGACGTGGACGAGTGTGCCAGCAACCCGTGCCACAACGGGGGCGAGTGCGCGGACAAGGTGGCACACTACCAGTGCATCTGCCCCGTGGGTTACTCGGGGCTCCAGTGCGAGGTGAGGCAGACGATGAGGCTTTTCTCTCTTCTCTTTCTCTCTCTCTTTTTGTCTCTTTGTCTTCTTTTCTCTTGCTTTCTTCTCTTTTTGTCTCTTTTTCTTTTCTTCTTTTCTCTTTTGCTCTTCTTGCTTTCTTCTCTTTGTCTCTTTTTCTTCTTGCTTTCTTCTCTTTGTCTCTTTTTTTCTTCTTGCTTTCTTCTCTTTGTCTCTTTTTTCTTCTTGCTTCTCTTCTCTTTTTCTTCTTGCTTTCTTCTCTTGTCTCTTTTTCTTCTTGCTTTCTTCTCTTTGTTCTTCTCTTCTTCTCTCTCTTTTTCTCTTTCTTTTCTTTTTTTTTTGTTTTGTCTAAAATTCGGAACCTAGTCCAAGCAAACTGACAACACAGAAGCAAAATAAACCATACCCATGGTAAACAAACAAGCAAATAAATAAACGTAATGAATACATGAAGAAATGCAAGATAAATCAATAAAATATAAAAAAAAAGATTAAAGAATACACACACACACACACACACACACACACACACACACACACACACACACACACACACACACATATATATATATATATATATATATATATATATATATATATATATATATATATATTTATTTTGTTTATTTATAAGTATATTTCCCTTCTCGACCTTCCAATCGAATTTTGAAGAAGAAAAAAAAACTCGAATAAACCTGCCTAACCCTTCATCCCTTCGCGTCCCCCCCCCCCCCGCAGATCGACATCGACCTCTGCAACCCGAACCCGTGCGACAACGAGGCTCCGTGCATCAACACCCAGAACGACTACTACTGCAACTGCCCCGAGCAATGGGGCGGCAAGAACTGCTCGCAGCCCCGCCCGGCCTGTACGCAGCCGCCGTGCCAAGGTAGGCCTCTTTTTTTTTCTCTTTTTTCTTTTTTTTTTTGATTTTCTGCGTCTTCGGAGATTCGGATCAGTGTGTTTTTTTTTTAAGATTTATTTTTTTATAGTTTTTTTTTTTATAGATTTTGATATAATTTGGTTTTCATTTAGTTCATCTATTCGGTGCTTTATGCTGTAAGAATTTTTTTTTTTTTTTTTTTTTTAATGAGTAGAATATTTTATGCATGGTTATTTTGTTGAGAAATTTACGTTGTTTCATAAACGCTTCCTCCATCCGTTGTCTTTTTCTCTCTTCTCCTTTATTCCTTTTGTTTGTCGCGTCCCTCCCATGCCAACCCTTTATCTCCTGGGATTCTTTGCCTCCCTTTTGGGGCGAATGGAAACGCAAACGACAAACTCCTTCGTCCGGTTTCTGCTTCTTCACGGACCTCTCTCTGTGCGATCGGGGCCACGCGCGTGTCGACGTGGGCGCGCGTGTGCGTGTCGCCCCCTCCCCTCCTTCCTTCCCTCCTCCCTCCCTCCTTCCTTCCTTCCTTCCCTTCCTTTCCTTCCTTCCTTCCTTCCTTCCTTCCTTCCTTCCTTCCTTCCTTCCTCCTCTCCCTTCCTCCCCCCTCCTCTCCCTCCTTCCCTCTCCCTCCTCCACCTCCCCTCCTCACCTCCACCTCCACCTCCACCACCTCCACCACCCACCTCCACCACCTCTCCCTCCACCTCCCCCTCCTCCTCCCCCTCCCGCCCCGAGCAGCCCCCCAGGTGAGCTACTCCCTGTCCCTCCGCCTGCACCACCTGTGGTACCTGTACTCCTCCGTGCACACGTACCCCCCCCCTCTCCTCCGCGCCGGGCCTCACCCCCCCTCTGTCCGTCCCGTCCCAACAGTGGTGGACAGCTGCCTCGTGCCTGACACCCGCGACCCCGGCCCCGTCAGGCTCGTGCCCTCCAACATCTGCGGCAGGCACGGCCGCTGCGTCAGCCACGCCGACGGGAACTTCTCCTGCGTGTGCGTCCCGGGATTTACCGGGCAGTATTGCCACATCAGTGAGTACTCCTCCTCTGGTTTTTTGTTTTGTTGTGTGTGTTTGTTTGTTTGTTGGTTTGGTGGTTTTGGTGTGTTTGCGGTTCGTGGTGTGGCTCTTCGGGCTTACTAACATCTGTTTTCTTTTCTTTTCTCTCTTTTTAAATAATTTGGTTTGATTTTTCCCTCCTTCAATCACCGAACAATATATCAGAAATGTTTTCCATTCGTCAGCAACGATTTGCAACACATGGCACTGCGAAACAGCTGTTGCAAGAAGGCTGTCGCCCCCTCCCCCGGGCCTCGCAACATCACGTGTTATTTGCATTGAAGCCCCCCCTGAAGAAAGTGAAGCCAATCTGGATGTATTCTCGTCAGCTGGTTTTATCGTGAATGGATATATATATTTTTTAAACACGCCATTCCGTATTTTATTTTATCAATTAATTTAATGTTCCTTTAGCTGTTGCCGATTCGGTTGGGAATCATGTAGTTCTATTCGAAGACATCCCCCCCCCCCCCGAAAAAAAGGAGATTTTTGATGAATAGAAGTATATGTTTAAAAAAAAAAATGAAAAATGTGTGGTCTAGAGGAGGATCAGTACCTAAGGCATTGAAATCTCCACGACGCACCGTAGGGCAAAATCCCGCGTCTTCTCAAGCGTCCCTCTCGACCGCCCGACTTCCTCAGTCGCTCCCTCCCGCCGACAACGGACGCGAGGACCGGCCGCAACCGACGCACGCCTCCGACATCCCGACATCCGACATTCCCTTCAACCCTGAGCCGCATCAGACACCGCGAGTCGAGCCGCCCTTGATCTGCACGGGAGCGGGGCGGCGCCGTCTCCCCGATTGCCTCCCAGCGATGCCATCCCAGATAACGGGGTGCCAGGTCGACCCCTCCCCCCTCCCCTCCTCCACGGCCGGTAGTCTGTCAGTCCCCTTTGATGGGAACCGACGCCCGCGCCACGCCCACACGGACGCGCGTCGTGGGCTGTGCGCTGCGCCCGCTTGATGTGTCATGCGCGTTTGTGTCGCGCCGGAGATGTGCTGGCGATGCGGGAGATATGACTGCATTCGCTCTCTTTCTTTCTCTGTCTGTGTCTGTCCTGTCTTCTCTCTCTCTCTCTCTCCCTCTCCCCCTCTCTCTCTCTCTCTCTCTCTCTCTGTCTCTCTCTGTCTCTCTCTCTCTTTCTCTCTCTCTCTATCTCTCTCTCTCTCTCTATCTATCTATCTATCTCTTTCTCTTTCTCTCTTCTTCTCTTCTCTCTCTCTCTTTCTTCTCTCTCTCTCTCTCTCTCTCATCTCTCTCTCTCTCTCTCTCTCTCTCTCTCTCTCTCTCTCTCTCTCTCCTCTCCCTCCCTCCTCTCTCTCTCTCTTCTGACATATGTTTGTTTGACTCCCGTCTCTCCCTCGCCATTTTATGAATGGGAAAACACCGCATGACAGATCTTCGGCATCTGATCAGGAGAACCGCCCCCCCCTAACCCCTCCCCAAACTGACCCCCCACCCCCTACCCCAAATTGAACCCGGCCCCCCCCACCCTCCAGTTCGAGGGTTTGCCGGTTTTAAGGATTTTACGGTATGGTAGCGCTGGTATGTTCTCTCGATGGTATTTGGTGGTACTCGGCCCTCAGACCCATCCGGGTTCTCTCTCCTTCGTCTCGGCTTTGAGGTCTTCCTTCGTTTTTTTCCTGTTTTTCGTCCTGTTCTTTTTTGTTTTCTGTGCTGTGTTCGTTTCTGTCTCTCTTCTCCCTTTTTATTGTCTTTTTTTGTGTGTGTTTTTGTTTCTCTGTCTTTGTTATTCTTGTTTTTCTCTTCCCTTTCTCTCCATTTCTTTTCTCTTTCTTCTCTTTCCTCTTCTTTATTCTCTCTTCCTTTCTTCTTCCTCTCTTCCTCTTCCTCCCTTCCCCCTCCTCTTTCCTCTCCTCCTCCTCCTCTCCTCCTCCTCCCCCTTCCCTACTCCTCCTCCTCTTCCTCTCCTCCTCCTCTCCTCCTCCTCCTCCCCTCTTTCCCCTCCTCCCCCCCCCTCCTCCTCCTCCATCCATTGAGAGCTACAGGACCTCTTAAGATCAATAATTATACCTTGAGCTTCCCCTGTCAAAAGCCTCACAGAGTCTAGTCATCCGTGGGGGCAGGTGAGGGGAGGGGGGTGAAGGAGGGGGGAGGGGGGGAGGGGACGGGGAGGATAAAGAAAGTACTGACTTCTGCGTCGTCTTCGTCTTCGTGGCTAAGACCCCGGAGTCGTTTTGATGCTGTTGTTGTCGTTGTTGTCGTTAGGGTCTTTGGTTAAGGGTCGTGGAAGTGGTGGTCGTTTGGTCATTTAGTCGCGTGTGTGTGTGTGTGACTGTTTTTGTGTATGTGTGTGTGTATGACTGTTTTTGTGTATGTGTGAGCGTGCGTGCAGATCGATGTTTGTGTGTGTGTGTGTGTGTGTGTGTGTGTGTGTCTGTGTGTGTGTATAAAAGGAAAGAAAGCGAAAAATTTAAAACAGTGTCTTTGCATCTTCCAAACGCCTCTCGGAATTTGAAAATCCTACAGTAAAAAAAGAAAAAAAAGGAAGAAAGAAAAAAACACGTGACCTTTAGATGACCTTTGGCTGACCCGAAAGCAAGGTCGAAATTAAACCTTCCTTGCGAGTGATTCCTTTTCTCTCCCTCTTCCTTCTTTTCGTTTTAATATGTATGTTTATTTACTAATTTAAATTGTTATTGCTTCTTGAGTTGGTTCATCATTTGCAATATTTGTAGGCCTATACGCGTCTATGTTCGTGTATGTATCATTTGTTATATGTTTGTTATTATTATTAATTCCTTCATCTTCATTAATTCTCTGTCAAGCTTATTTACATATTTAGTAAGAATGACATTTATCACATTTCTTGATTGTTATTATATACCTGAATTATCATCGATTCCTCTGTTATCGTTCTTTTTCTCTCTTTCTCTCTTTCTTTTCTTCTCTTTCTCTCTCTCTCTCTTCTCTTCTCTCTCTCTCTCTCTCTTCTCTCTTCTCTCTCTCTCTCTCTCTCTCTCTCTCTCTCTCTCTCTCTTCTCTCTCTCTCTCTCTCTCTCTCTCTCTCTCTCTCTCTCTCTCTCTCTCTCTCTCTCTCTCTCTCTCTCTCTCTCTCTCTCTCTCTCTCTCTCTCTTCTTTCCCTCTCTCTCTCCCTCCCCCCCTCTCTCTCTCTTCTCTCTCTCTATCTCTATCTCTATCCCTCTCCTTCCTTCCTACGTTCCTTCCTCCCTCCTATCTGTCCCCCACATACACAACACCGACACAAACTAATCGTTCTCTCCCCTCCCCCCCTCCTCCGTTCTCCCCCCGCAGACGTGAACGACTGCGAGTCCTCTCCCTGCGCGAACGGCGGAACGTGCGTGGACCTCGTCAGCGGGTTCCAGTGCGTGTGCGACCAGGGCTGGGAGGGGCCGACCTGCGACCGTGGTAAGCTGCTGTTGTTGTTGTGTTTGTTGTTGTTGTTGTTGTGGCTGTTGTTTTTTTTTTCGAGTGTAGTTGGTCGGTTGTTGTTGTGCTGTTGTTGTATTTTTTTTTTTTTTTTTTTTTTTTTTTTTTTTTTTTTTTTTTTTTTGGTTTCGAGTGTAGTTGGTCGGTGGACTGTGGTTTTCTGCTCTTCAGTTTTCTTCTTTTTATATTTTTTTTTTCGTTTTTCTTTTCTTTCTTTCTTTTTTCTTTTCTTTTCTTTCTTTTTTTCTTTTTTTTTTTTTTTTTTTCTTTCTTTTCTTTTCATTTTCTTTCTTTCTTTTTCTTTTTCTTTCGTTTCTTTTCTTTCTCCGTTCCTTCTCCCTATAGTTATTATTATACTAATCCTTGTTTGTCATCTTTTTCCCCCTGCTAATCACAATATTCGTTGTCTTTTATTTTCCTTGCATTCTCTTCGCTCTCATCGCCTTCATCTTAGCTTTCTTATCCATATTTCCAAAGGTTTTCTATCTTGTAATTGATCACTGATGCAATCTTGTGCAACATTTAGAAAGTCAACGGCCATTTTTTTTTTTCGTTAAATTCGTTTTTTTTGTATATTGTTTTTGTTGTTTTGTTTTCTGTCATCCGTGTTCTATGTCATTTTTATTTTCGTTTTCTGTGTCTCCTGTTTTCTTTGCCATTCTTCTAGACACCTCCTTCTTTTTTTTATCTCCCCTGTCATCGCAGCCTTCTTATACCCCTTTCTTCCTTACCCATCTCCTTCCCCTCTTTGCATCTCACCCCCTCTCAGCCCTCTCCTCCTTCCCTCCTCCTCCCCCTCCCCCTTACCCCTCACCCCCTCCTACTTCCCTTACTCTCATTCCATCCTCTAAATCCCCCCCCCCCCCTATTCATCCCTCCCTCCCCTCCCCTCCTCCACGCCTCCTCCCTCCCCGCCCTCCTCCTCCCTCCCTCCCCCTCCCCTCCCTCCCTCCCCCACGCCCCTCCCCTTCCTTTGTGTCTCGGCTGATTAAGTAGGATGACCAGCATCCTTGTGGATATAAGGAAGGGGGGGTAGGGGGGGAGGGGAAGGGGGGGAGGAGGTGGAGTAGGATAATGAAAGTTTTTTCTTTTTTTCTTTTTCTTTTTTTTTTTGGGGGTGGGGTGGGGGTGGGGGGTGAGACTGGTTAGGTTAACGGGTGTGAGTCAATTCCGCGATGAGGAGAGATGAGTGAAATATGAGTTTACGGGGCGAATCTGACGGGGGAGGGGGGGGAAGGGTGAGAGGGAAAAGCGTTGAGGGAATCCGCTTAGGATACGGGGGGGGGGATGTGGATGCCAATGTGGATGACTATGTGGATGACTCTAGGTCGATTTCAGGAATAAGTTTGACATCATAAAAAATAATCATAAAAAATAATAATAAATAAATAATTGGGGGAGATGCAAGGTTAATATAATCGGATTAAACGCAGTTAATTTTGATCTTTAGAAAATGGAGATAGACAGATAAAAGAATAGATTAATTAAAGGGAAGTAGGAGAGAAACGCCAGTGGGATGCACGTGGAAGGGATCGTCTAAGAGAGATAAGAGAGATAAGAGAGATAACTCGCGTGGCTTATTAAGTGATCGGAGGAGATTGCAAGACCCTCGAGTCATGTCAGGTTGGAGGGATTTTGTGGGCGGGGCTTCGTTGGTCACCTGTGCTCCGTTGTTTTTCTTTTCGTTTTCCTTCTTGCGTCTTATTCTTCGGGTACTGTTGCTGTTACTACTACTTTTGCCTTTTTTTCTTCTTCTTCTTCATCTTTCTCTTATTCTCCCTCCTCCTCATCATCATCTTCTTCTTCTTCTTAATCGCAGCTTTAACTTATCTCCTACTTGCCCCTCACTTTCTCCTCTTTCCCTCTCTCCCCTTCCCATCTCCAGCCTCCCTCTTCCTCATACTTCTTCATATGCTCTTTGTCTTTTTTTCCATTATTTTTTCCTCTTTTTTCATGTTCCCTTTTCGTCACCTCTCCCTTCTCCCTCTTCTCCTATATCGTCTCTCTTCCAGTTACTCGTTCCTTGTCCTCCCATCATGTCCCCACCATCTTTACCTCCTCCCACTCCCATCTCTCCCCTCCCCCTCTTCCATCAGCTCCTATCCCCCTACCGACTCCTACCATCTACCCCCCCACACACACACACCCCTTCCGCCCGCCCTGAACGAGCCCCGTCTCCCCGCAGACACGGACGAGTGCGCCGACCAGCCGTGCCGGAACAACGGCACGTGCGTCGACGGCAAGGTGGACTTCGCGTGCACGTGCCCCGAGGGGTGGAAGGGGCGCACGTGCGCGTCCACCACGTCCCACTGCGACGCCTCCACGTGCCAGAACGGCGGGGTGTGGCGCCGACCTGGGCAGGGGCGGCCTTCGTGTGCCGCTGCCCCGAGGGCTGGAAGGGCACCACGTGTCAGATCGGTAAGTCGCTGCTGTTTGTTGCTTTTGTTGTCTTTTTTGCGAGAGCGCAGCCGCGCCGCTCTGCCCGAGCGCCGCCTGACCCGGCCTCTTTTCCGCAGCCCGAGCGCCGCGCTGCGACTCGTCCCGTGCAAGAACGGCGCCACGTGCGTCAACACGGGCGACGGCTTCACGTGCCTGTGCCAGGACGGCTGGGACGGCGCCACGTGCCAGAACAACATCAACGAGTGCGCCACGTACCCCTGCTACAACGGCGGCCGCTGCCTGGACGGCATCAACACGCGCGTGTGCAAGTGCGCGCCGGGCTTCGCCGGCCCCGACTGCCGCATCAACATCGACGAGTGCGCGTCGTCGCCCTGCGCCTTCGGCAGCACCTGCAGGGACGGCCCCGGTTACTTCCGCTGCGTGTGCCCGCCGGGCCGCACGGGCCACCGCTGCGACCGCGTCGAGCTCCCCAACGACACGGGCGTCGACACCCCCAAGCCGTGCTTCTGGGACGGCGAGCTGCGGCAGCACGGCGCCGTCTGGACGCACCAGTGCAACTCGTGCCATTGCAGCCACGGCACCGCCTCCTGCTCCGCCGTCTGGTGCGGCCCCGAGAACTGCCTGCGCTCGCGCGACCCCGCGCACTACCCGTGCAAGCCCGTGCAGGTGGGTTTGGCTTCGGCTTTTCTTTGGATATTAATGATTGCATTTTTGCCTTATACTGTCTATATATGCCCTGATGTACGGAAGACACTTGCACATACACAGACGCACACATTCACACTCACACACATTCACTTACACACATTCACACTCACACATACGCGCGCACACGCGCAAGCCCCAACCCCCCTAACCCTCCCTCCGCCCCAGGTGTGCGTGCCGGGGCCGCCCGAGTGGTGCCTGGCGGGCGCGTGCGAGCCGTGGGGCGAGTGCCGCGACCTGAGCCACGACGAGCAGAAGGTGGCGCCGCCCTCCAACCCCGGCCCCGAGGACTGCCAGCCCAACCGCGCCACGCTCAACAACGCGTGCGCGCGCCTCACGCTCGTGCTGGACCGCGCGCGCCTGCACGTGGGCGCTCGCGTGCAGACCATGTGCCGCGGGCTGCGCGCCGCCTGGGCGGGGCGCCACGGCCACACCGCCACGCCCTCGCCCGTCATCCTGTGCGGCCTCGTCGCCGGCACCAACGACACGGTCGAGGTCACGCTGGTGAGTCCTTCGTCGTCTTGGTCTCTTCTTTGCTCTCTGCGGGCGTGTTTTGCAATGCAATTGATTCTAATGAGGATGGCCGCTGGGATTTTGTCCCATAAAACCACTCCACTTTCCCTTCGGTCGACGGCGCTCGCTAACCGCTCTCCTTCCTCATCTCCCCAACAGTCGTATCCTACAGGAGGGCCTCACGGCGACGTCACGGTCGCCGCGAAGACCCTCGGCGAGCTGGTCAGCAAGAGGCTCACCACCGTCAGCGCCCTCACCGCCGTGGTCGAGGTCAAGGTGGAGACGACGGTCGTCAGCGGCGAGAACCCAGGTCAGTTGGACGTCGATGGTCCTGGGGGGAGGGGGGTGAAGGGGAGGATGAGAGAGAGAAAGAGAGAGAGAGAGAGAATAAATGTATATATATATAGAGAGAGAGAGTGAGAGAAAGAGAGAGTATACTAAAACCAAATCTAACCCCGTCGTTTTCCCTTCGGCAGGCATCGCCAACGGGGTCCTGGCGGCCGTGACGGTGGTGCTCGTGGTCCTGGTGATCCTGGCGGTGGCGGCGCTGGGCTACTGGCAGTGCCGGCGGCGCCACCTGCAGGCGCACCACCGCAACGCCTTCCCCGTCACTCGTCGGCCAAAGCTGGCCGAGGACGCCCACGCCGAGAAGTCCAACAACGAGAACGAGGAGAAGCTGTGGCGCTACCACAACCCCCTCAAGACCTCGTCCTTCTGCGGCGGCCCCGGCGACGAGGCGGGGCCCTCCTGCTCGCGCGTCACGCCGCAGGGCCCCGGCGACCCGCGGGTGGCGCCCCTGGGCTCGCCCGTGGGCCTGATCCAGGTGCCCAAGGCCAGCCTGGCCACGCCCGAGACGGACCTCAGCGACTGCGAGTCCCCGACGCACGGGCTGCCGGCGGCCATGCGCAAGGTGCAGAACGCCGACGTGGAGCGCAACATCACCCCGCACGACCCGGCCTGCAAGAGCATACAGAAGGAGATCAACCTGAAGGCCATCTCGCCCCGGGCGGCGGAGGCGGACCACATGACGAGCGAGGTGGTCGTATAGCAGAAGGACTTCGGTCCTCCCTCCTGCAGGACCCCAAGCGTGATGTGGGAGGGCGTGCTCGTGTGCGTGCCCGCGGCCCGCCCCTCGCGCCTGCCATGTTCCCAAGTGCCTAAGCCACGAGTGTGTTCACGCGGGGATTTCCCCTTCTGACGGCGCCCCAAGGGGAGCTTCGAGCTCCTCCCGCCCGAGTGACGATTGTGCCTCCCCCCCCCCCTCTCCCCCGTGAAGTGGTGGCGCAGCGGCGTCACAGCGGACGTTCTAGTGGTGACGCCGCGACCCTCGTGTGCGACGCTCGCTCGCGGCCGAGAAACCTCGTGATGACTTCTTGTAGTGCCTCAAGGACTTACACTGCTGTGGCGGCGCCTCGGGTCCTCCGCCCCGAGCGCCGCGTCACAGCGCCCACTCATAACCTCATGACCGTCTCCGCGACGACGACGTCTCCGGTGCTCCTGCGACCGTCCTCGAAGTTTCCAGAACTCTTCCCGCGCAGCCGCTGCTGGCGCGGCGAAGGGCCAGCGACTCGGTAGCCTGACGGTGAACGTGCGATACCAGTGGTATCCCAAACCGTCAAGTCGTGAAGACCATTTTCTTAAAGTTTAGCGTGATCCTCGTGACCAATGTCCAAGCTCTTTTTGGACCTTATGAGGCTCTTGAATGTTCAGGTATGATGTATTTTATATCCAAAGGCTTTCTGAACGTTCGCTCGGATGCCGGCGGCCGCGCGCGGTGAGGCCGCCTTGGCCCCGCCTCCCGCGCCCGCGAACGCCCTCATCGCCCTCACCACGCATATCCTCCTCACTCTTTGGGACATCCTTCGACTATGCATATCCCTCATTCGCTCGGGAGTTCACAGAAAGGCATATCCAGTACCTCCAGGCATCTCTAGACAGAATGGTGCATACCCGGTGCTTCCACGGACGTTCGCCGCCCGAGGGAAAGGACGACCGGGCATCCGGCGATTTCCCGACCGCGCTGACGACCAGCGATCCGCTGTTTCTACGAACGTTCGCGCAGGACCTAGACAGAATCCTCTACGTTTAACGAACGTTCAGTAACGATGCATATCTGGCTCTTGCTGTCTGTTATCGCTTACTGGCGGCCCTCGTCTGTCTCCGGTTCCTCAACCAACGACCAATTTGATGCTGTGTTTTGTCGACGCGCCATTTTCCGGAGCGTTCGCCGATGGCGCGGATCCGGTTCTCTCGTCATGGCGCATTCAGTATCCGTATCTCAGTGTTTACTGTAATGTATTCATCCTCCGGTACTTATAAGAACGCTTGTTTGTGTGTTACATGCGGCATCAGCTATCCCCACAGCGTTCTCCGTTGATGAATGCGGTATCCAGCGTCAGCAAAAAGCGAAAATGTGAATCCGCGGCGGACTGGATATCCGCACACCCTTACGCGAACGCAGTGTATAACTTTACTATTTACTGCATATTCTCAGTGTAAAACGGAAGAAAGGAGTGTGGAATGCACACGTTTTAAGCTCCTCTCTGACCCCCCCTTCAAAAATGGATGATGCGTTTATAGAGAAAGAGGTAAATAGTTTTTATGTGACGTAGACTTTTAAAAAGGGAATCAGATTATTTTGTACTAGAGTTGGAGAGGCTTGGGTCTCTCCTCAGAGAATCTGCCTTATGGAGTCAACACATTTCCTTTTTTTTAAGCCCCGACTATATATTTCTCTCTTTTTTTAATCAAATCTCCCTTTTCTCTCTTTTTTTTAGCGGAACCAGTAGTTATTTTCATTTTTTGATTGTTTTTATTTTCCTTTTTTTAATTACTTTTGATTTCCTGCGGCCATGTTGCTTGTGAGAGCTTGTGTAATGCCTTACATATGAGCGCTTCTGTATAAAAGAGAATTATGGCTCCGGTGTGTATAATTGTATAGATTGTAGCAGATTTTTATAGGACACAGAGCAGCGGGAGGTCGTGATCTCTATATAATGACAAAGTTCATTGTGTTTTTGTTTTTTTTCTGAATCGATTTCTATGTTGATCATTTTCTTTCGCGGGTTTTCTTCAGTGTGACGTCACTGCCATGGCGTCATGAGCAGGTCGTGACGTAAGACCGGAACGATATATTTTTTTTTTTTCCCCAAAGTTGTGATCAAATTTCTGCGTACATGAAAACCGAATTCATTAAAAGGAAAGAAAAAAATAGAATGAAATGGCAAAAATCCGACGAGTTCTTGCGTCCCGACCTCGCTAAGACCTCGCATTCTAAATCTATTTTTCTGATAATACTCGATTCCGTTGCATCCCTCAGCTCTCAAACTTCTACACTACCTGATATCGATGTAGAAAGCTGTGATATTTTTGTACATTTGTATTCAGTGTTGTGCAATGTATATATGTAAGTATTTATTGATGTTAAACCTTAGCATCATTGACGCCATTTCATTATGATTATGATTCCGCATCTGGCCGCTAGGGGGGCGTGAGGATCAATGGGTTCAGGGAGGACTAAAAGAAAACGGAAAAATGGAAGTTTTTTTTTTTTAAGAAATGACCTTAGAAAATATATATATATATAAATATAAATCTCGTGACAAGACTTTTTTTTTAAGTTCCCGAATAAGGAAAAGAAACGTAGATAATCCCCCACACACAAAATATAGAAAACGGGAAGAAAACAACTTTCAGGCAAGCTATCTGAAAGAAAACGGGAAGACGCCGTTCTCTCTCTCAACGGGGATAAACGGAAAAAAAGAGACAATTCCTCAATAAAAATGATAATTAAAGGGAGAACGAAAGAAAGAAAAAAAAAACATGAATTAGAAAGTGAAATAAGACTAAAACCGCCATGAATGGGCTGTGATATTGTCGAAAATACCAGGATGTTAAAGGGGCCACGGTTGCCGATTGCTCCTTTTTCTCACGAACCTTTTTTCGCAGTCTGTCTGTTTGCTTTTCTCTTTTTGTTTTTGTTTTTATTTCTTCTCGATTATTTTCTAATGATCTAACAGGCGACACACATCTGTACAAAACGAGAGAGGAAGAAGGAGACGAGAGAAAAAAGTCCTACAGATTAACTTGTATATTTTTGGTATTTTCGAGCGAGATTTAAAGCATGCCTTTGTTGGGAAACATCTCGAAAAGACAATAAAGATTTATTCGGATAAAAGCTGTTTTTGTTATTATCCCCTTTTTTTGTTTTTTGGATGAAGATATGGAGAAATAGCCTTGGGAATTTGGAAATAGAAATTTAGATGTGTGTGAGTCACACACACGCAACAAATAGACATACACACACACAACACACACACACACACACCACACACACACACACACACACACACACATATATATATATATATATATATTATATATATATGTATATTATTTTGTGTGTATGTGTGTGTGTGTGTGTGTGTTTACACAGGTAAATGTCTTCAGAATAGCCTAAAGAACTCTCAATATTAAGATTCCTGAAAAGGACGAAGCAATGTTCCCAATTCTCTTCTGGAAAATAATGATGATGACTTTGATAAGGGAGATAAAATAAAAAAGAGACAATTCCTCAATAAAAATGATAATTAATGGGAGAACGAAAGAAAGAAAGAAAAAAACATGAATTAGAGAGTGAAATAAGCCTAAAACCGCCATGAATGGGCTGTGATATTGTCGAAAATACCAGGATGTTAAACGCAAAAAAGAGACAATTCCTCAATAAAAATGATAATTAATGGGAGAACGAAAGAAAGAAAAAAACATGAATTAGAAAGAAAAAAAATGAAATAATAATAATAATAGTGGATGATAATAATCCGGGTAGCGACAATTATATCTAATAATAACAGGAACGGAAAGAAAATCACAGAAAAATGATGACAATGTTAAAACAACAGAAACGATAAAGTCAATGATAATGACAGAATTAATGAGGATAATGGAAACGATAATAAAAATAACAGATAATGACCACACTTATGATAACAACGGTAGTAAATAAAACATTGATAAAGAAAAATTGAAACATTATGACCTGCATGAATTGTTGTTTAAAGACAAGAAAAAAAAACCAATGATACAAAAACAAAACTATGTCAAAAGAATCCCTGATCTGATTTGATTGCAACAGCCAAAACTATCAATCATACATACCAAAAAAAAAAAAAAAAAAAAAAAAAAAAAAAAAAAATTCACGTGTATCAAAATACATCCATTCGACAAACACGTATATATACTAGATTAACAATTAATTTATTTTGGGATTAAGATTCCAACTTGAATATTGCAAAAGGCTGGAAGTGTTGCAAGTTGCTGAGCCCTTGATAAAACCTGAATCGGCTCTCGCTTAATTAAGTTTAAAAGAATTTCATAACTTTTTCGCCGGACATCAGATATTTTCATTTATCTTTATTCATCTGATATCATTATACATGCATACGTGTGTGTGTGTGTGTGTGTGTGTATGTATGTATGTATGTATGTATTTGTGTATGTTATGTACGTATATGTACTTGTATGTATGTGTGTGTGTGCATGTATGTGTAAGTGTATTTGTGTATGTATATATGTACGTATGCCTGTATGTGTGTGTGTGTGTGCATGTATGTAAGTATGTATTTGTGTATGTATATGTACGTATGCCTGTATGTATGTGTGTGTGTGTGTACATGTATGTATGTATGTATGTATTTGTGTATGTATATGTACGTATGCTGTATGTATGTGTGTGTGTGCATGTATGTATGTATGTATGTATGTATTTGTGTATGTTATGTACGTTGCCTGTATGTAGTGTGTGTGTGTGCATGTATGTATGTATGTATTTGTGTATGTATGTACGTATGCCTGTATGTATGTGTGTGTGTGTGTACATGTATGGTATGTATGTATGTATTTGTGTATGTATATGTACGTATGCCTGTATGTATGTGTGTGTGTGTGTGCATGTATGTATGTATGTATGTATTTGTGTATGTTAATGTACGTATGCCTGTATGTATGTGTGTGTGTGTGCATGTATGTATGTATGTATGTATTTGTGTATGTATATGTACGTATGCCTGTATGTATGTGTGTGTGTGCATGTATGTATGTATGTATGTATTTGTGTATGTATATGTACGTATGCCTGCATGTATGTGTGTGTGTGTGTGTGCATGTATGTATGTATGTATGTATGTATTTGTGTATGT